TTATATATATATATATATATATATATATATATATATATATATATATATATATATATATATATATATATATATAGAGTGTCTAAAATGACACCAGTTACTTATACACCAGTTGCTAACATCAGTTCGTTCGGGTACCTACAGTGCTCCGTTTGTAAAAACGACGGTTCCTAACCCCCCTAATCCTCCCCTAAACCCCCACTCCAGCCCCACCCTTGCCCCCCCACCCCAGCCCCCCTCTCGCCCCCTCCCTACCCTGGCAGTACACTGCCAGGAGGGTAGGCAAGTTATTTATACACGCACCAGTTATAAAATGACACAAGTTATTTATACACCAGTTGCTTACACCAGTAGCACTGGTGTCATTTTAGACTTACCGTGTATATATATATATATATATATATATATATATATATATATATATATACACACACACATATATATATACACACACACACAATATTTGGGGCGTGTTTGTTTGCAATAATTAAATTTCATTTTTTATTTATTTATTTTAAGAGACGAAATTTATCTCGGATTTACTTGTACGCATCATTGATTATACTCCGTATATATGGTGTGTTCTTCACTTCTGATCTACACCTATATAAAAATCGAATATATGTTGGTTATTTATTGTTTTTAATTTTTCGTGGTTCGGAATTGATATTAATATCTTTTTTTTGTTTATGGGTTATTTTAAATATTTTAAACTCGTAAAAATGATTACTCCATCCATTTCAGAATTTTTTAAAATTCACTTGTAATGCTTGACTGAATTTATTTTCAGTATAACTTATGTGAAAATTGATCTAAAGTTAGAATTAAAGTTTATATATACATAAAATAAAGATCAAAAGTTTTACAAATTAAACGTGATGTGTCATTTGTCAGTTCTCAAAGAAAATATGTAAAAAAGAGAAGATATAATTTGAGCATGTAAAAAGTAACGTGAAAACGTAGCTTTTGTTTCTCGATAGGAATAATACTTATTTTTAGTTATTTTAGATTATTTTTTTGCTATATTATTTATATATAAAAATAAATACCTCCTTCGACAAGAAATAATGTTCCTCACATCCCAATTTATGAAGTTTGCCTGAAATTACATCAACTTGATTTATTTTATTATAAATGTAAACTTCAAAAATAAAAGCTAATTAAAACTCAAAAGCTACACAAAAAGTCATACGAAATAAGAGCTGAGATAATTATATTATAGTTATGTTTACGAAATGGATTCACATTGTAGTAGCTTATTTAAACATAAGAGCAGAAACTTCCTAATTAAGCTTTCTTAAAAAAGTTATTCATCTTAAGAAATGTATAAATTTTTCATTTATCATAGTTGCAGGAACAAATTTTTTATCATCACTCTCTAGTTACAATTTGTATATATAGTATTTACTAGTATTTGTAATACTGTTACCACTAAGCATTTCCACTATAAATAGGAGGTTTAGAATCCCTGTAAAACACCATTAAGAACAAGAAGAAGAATGAAGAATTAATAATGAGAAAAAATTAGAAACATATCATACTGCATTTAATATCATAATTTCTGAGTAGTTTTTTTCCCTCTCATTTTATAACAACTCTCCTAATTTTCTCACTCAAATATATTGGGTTTTCTCTTTGTTATTGAATAGTTGGGATTACATGGGTGGCCCGAAGGGTGTGCAAAATGGCCAACTGCACAGAGCTCCTAAAATTTTAGGGCCCCATATTTTTAAATTTATTGATAATTTTAAAGCAAAAGTATTCTTAAAAAATGAAATAGGACCTAAGATGTAAATTTTAGACCGAGCCAATTTTATTTTTTCATTTTTCGAGGCCGGCACTTGGGAATGAATGTTATTTAATTTATATTACTCCATTGAATGGTATGGATTAATTCTCTAGAATCTTTCACATATATTCTAGAATCTTTGAAATATTTTCACATCTTCGGATTCTGCTTGATACACGAAATTCAAGCTATGGAATTAGAATTATGGATTAGACAATAATTTCAATTTTGCTGTTTGGTAACAAAAAAATAAATGAATTTAAAAGTGGTAGTGCAAAAAAATAAATTAGAATTGGAAAACTCAATTCCATCCAAATCAATTCCATGGAATTTTAAGTTCTCAATTCAATTTGAATTTCGTATAGACCATCAATAAACTTTTGGACAATTCTACACTTTTCTAGCTTTTACAATTCTCTAGAAAATTTTAAAATTTTCAAAAATGTGTTTAAGTTTTGTATAACAACCAAATCATATAATGTCATAATATAAAATCGAGATAGATATTAAGAGGTATTAAGAACACAATCACGCTTTTTTTTCGTGTAATTGTCGGTCCATGTTATGTGTTTTGGAGATTTTTGATTCGAAATATTTAATGAAAGATTGTTCATTTCCTCAAACATGGTAGACACTCGACCACTCTATGTGTGCCTTCACTTAACTCACAATAATATGGTCACCATTAACTTTTGTTTTATTCAAAAATAAATAAATAAAACATTAACCAATCATAATTCCAATTTTTATTTTTATATAAAAACAAATTAACCAATAAGCACAATTTAATTTAATTGGTATAGTTGTTTGTTCCCAATACTAGGTACAGTGTATCTACTTAACTAGCTTAGGGGAGGGGAGGGGCACTCTTAATTTGTTTTGGTCTTGTCTTTAATTTTTGTCCCAATAAATGGTGCATTAACCAATTCTAGTCTATAATAATTTTATAAATTGTATAGATCCATATAAATGTGTGGGTACTACTCCGTAATATTTTTCTTTCCTTTAAGGGTTTGTTTGGTACACGGGTGACGGGACTGATGAAATTAAAATTGAACTGAAATTGAAATTTTATGAAATTGATTTGGATGAAATTGAATGCTCCAATCATTTTTTGGCACTATCAGTTCCAATTTCACATATTTTTTGTGATACCAAATAGCAGAATTAGAATTGTTGTCTCTAATTATAATTCTACAGTTTGAATTCTGCGTACTAAATAGAGCCTAAATAAATTCTAACCACATACTTTTTATTTTATAACAATCTTCTCAAACCACATGAAGATGGGGTATCAAAAAAAGGATGAGTCACATCTCTGAGGGCACCATCAGACCCGGTCACTGAGAGGAGATAAATTTAATGTTAATCGCAAATTGGTGACAAATAATCGAACGGGCACTTGGTACCCGCAGAAGTCTTATGCTATGAAGTTAAGGTATCAAAAATTTAAAGGGAGAGGACATATTCTTATCCTAGTAGAATCCAAAGAAAAAATCATATCCCCAATTAGTGGTCACTAATCAAATACTCCATCAAGTAAATAAGTCCACTAATTACTTACACTATGCTAGGTCACTAAGAACATTATCAAACTAATTAATTTAACCAATCACATAATTTTATTTCATCTCACTGCCCAATCAAAAGGGAATTTATCTCTGTAAAATCTTGAATCCAAACAAACATATCAAAAAGGGAATTGGCTCTTGAAAACTCCCAAACGTTGGAAATAATTATGGAATTGATTCTAGCACTCTTTTTTACAATATTTTTGGGGTTGTTTGAAAATTAATTTTTCATATTTAAAAAAATGATTGAATGATTCATATTATTTCTATCCTCTCATATAATTAAATTTAAATCACACAATTTAATCTTATTTTAAAATTTAAACTTTTTTTATTTTAAATTTTTGTACTTTTTGATATTTCATGGATTTTAATTTGAGAGCGACGTGGTATTATGCTTGACTGTTTTTCTTTGTCATATGATTTTACTTTAATGAGACAGGATTTAAGTTGTGTCTCATCAAAGAGAAAAAATACCAAAGTCAAATATATTTGGCAGTACTAAAAAGGACCAACTTACACTAATTAATTTTTTCCACAATAAAAAAGATAACCCTAACCCTAAGTCTTTAAGATTGGATTGTACAATTCTTTGACACGAAATAAAGTGAAGGTTCCATTTGGTATACGAATTTAAAGCCACTAAAGTAAAATTGGAAAATTTAATTCTAATCATGTTATTTGATAGCATAAAAATATGTAAATTTAGAATTGATAGTGTAAAAGAATGAATTAGAATTGAAAAATTCATTTTCATCCAATTCAAAACCATAGACTTTCAATTCCAATTTTATCAATTTCATATACCAAACGCATCCTAAGATTAACATCTAAAGTGTTCACCTAATTCATTTTAGATTATTTCCGTTCTGCAAAAAATATGGCTTCATGGAAAATGGACTTATTGTACGGATTACTTTTTTTGGGCTTAAAGAAATATGGGGGCCATTTACTTTTTTTTTGTTTCTCAACGATTTGGAGAGTACTACAGTCACACCACGAAAACCATTCTAAGTTTTCTAACAATAATAGTATTGATAAATTGTATTCCACCATATATTTTATGATAGAATTGTGAGAAATATTAAACAAATATTTAGAGAGATGAAACTATACAAAACTAATAAATTTTATTTTATAAGAATGTGTTTGGATTTTGGAGTATTACTACAGAGTATTTGTTACTCCCTACTCATAAAAAGATTCTACATTTCATTTCGTTCCTCAATGAAAAAAAAAATTACTTTCTATTTTAAAAAAAAGAATTCTCGACCCTTATAATTTCTCTATCCATGCCATTTTAAACGCATAGTTTCTGTTCTCTTAATCTTTGTACAAATTCAAAAGTAAATTTTTTTTATATGGGAAGAATGGATTATACCAAAGTCAATTTTCATGTGATTCATGTCACATCAAGATATTCCTCATTCCCTTTTCTAAGAAAATGGTTAGGAAGTGGAGATCATAAGATCATTCCCTTTTGTCCCCTAAGTGCTAACCCCCCCCCCCCCCATCCCCACCCAGTCTAGGTGGGCTTACATGACTCAAGGGTCGAGTTTAACCCGACCCATTTCACGTTAGTTTCACCCGAAGATGGGTCGACTACGTTTTGAGCCCATTATACATTTGGGTCAGTCTCAATATACCCACCAAGTAAGTACTCCGTATAAAGCAAGACAAAGACCAAACTAAAATTGACCTGTTGCTTCAAAACAATCTGGTATTCTTTCCTGTGGTGGTGGTGATGGGAAATTAGTCACCATTATAAAACCCAGAATATCATACAAATATATGAAGTGTAACATTTTTTTCACTGAGGTCTGCAACAAGTTATCAAGCCACGGAGGGAAACTACGTGGGACCCGCAGCACACTTTGCGGTGATGCAACAGTAGCTTCCCGATGGGGGTGGGGGTGGGGGTCCGAGACCATTCACTGTCCGGAGTTGCGTGCTTGTAGTCTCTTCCTCTCAAATTCAAGCTAATCATACACACAGAAAAAACGAGAAATGAGACGCAAAGAGATGTAATAGATGAATGGTTTTTATCACTAACAGTGTGCATTAAAACAGAGTACGAAGAAAAAAACACGATAATATAGTTTTTATCACTTCATATTTTATATTAGAGTGTATCATTTAAAAAAAAACTCAACGAATCTGTTAAGTTGCGGGTCAGTTTGGGTTAGGTATCAGGTAAAAATGGGGTTTGTAAAGTTTTGAAATGTTTTTTTATCACTAAACTCTCATCTTGAAAGGGAATGTGGCATTTTGAAGAAATTTCTTACCACTTTTCGCACCCTTTCATTAGCGGCAGGGGTACCGCCCTTCACTGACTCGGGAAGGTAGGGACTGCTCACACGGACCTCATTCATCACAACTATGGCCGTCTTGTCCCACCGCACCGGAAGCCTATAAAAAAACATTAAATAGGATCTCAAAATCTCATATGGGTCACATACTCTCATTTAAAAGATAGATACCCTTACTCCATAAACTCTAAAGGCCCCGTTCGGGAATAGTATTTTTGAATAGCGTTGGCGTTTTGGATAAAACTTTAATGGTGCAGATTAACTTTGAAAATGCTACCCTTAGATAGCCTTTTCAAAACGCTAATGTTAACCTCTATGTTAATGTAGGCTAATACTTTGTTTGGGAACAAGGCTTGTGATTAGCGTTAGCACTTTGGAAAAAAATTTCACTTTGAAAATGCTAATGGCAAAAGCTATTGTTGGATCACATTTCCAAAGCGTTGAAGCGAAATGCTAAAGCTAATGCCAAACAGAGCCTAATACTACAAAGACGATTTGTTTTCCAAGGAAGATAAAAAAAACAACACAGTAGTTTAAGGGCCCGTTTGGTATGGACTGTTTAGCTGAAATTGCTGAATTCATTTGGAAGAAAAAGAGTTTAGTAACATACTAACATTCCCTAATAAATCAAAAGCTATTTATTCTGTGAATTCTGCTGATAAACCGATTTACTGATTATAGGTACTAAATGGAGCCTATGAATCAACTACCAAGGATGGGCTAAGCGTTAATTCCGTCAAAAAATATGGCATAAGAGTGAAAGGATGGGCTCAAGGGTAAAAATTTAAGTACTTCCCAAATATTCAAATTGAGTTACATCTTCAGATAAACAATAGCAAAGTATAAAATACTCATTCATCTACTAACAATCAAAATTTTTTGAGAAAACTGAAATCCATAGATGTTAATTCTATATTAAAAAACAAGACTAACAATAATATCATCTTGATTGGGAGATTGCGATGAAGATTGACATTTTGACCTTTAAGAAGTCAAACACTTAAAGCAGTCAAGCCCCCGCAGTTCACTTGGTTCAATTTAGTTTTGAGCTATTCAACAAGTTCTTAATCCAACAATTTACTCGCAACAATAACGAACCCAATAAATTCCACAAAAAGTGGGGTTTGGGGGAAAAGCGGGTATTCAAACCGTGCCCCTACTTGGTAACAAAGATGATGTTTTCAAGAGACCTCCTACTCAAACACAGAAGTACGGGCAAACAGAGTAAACACATTAACACGAAAAAAGTAAGAACATAGCCAAAAGATGTACTCATACCAATACTAGTAATTCACACCGAAAGCACAGAAAGAGCATAAGCTACAGGCTAAGGAAAAATGTGGGCTCTAATCTAATACCCAAAGGTCTACCCAACTACTCCAATCTAATACCTAATACTCTGGTGCTAGCGTACACGAACCTGGTTAACCGTGGTTAACTTTTTTACGTTGTAGTAATATATCCCAGTTATGAAGTTAAGATTAAGCCATTAAGGATTTAAGGTTTGAGGAGTAAACATGTATGCGGACTTTGCCTATACTCCAAAGAATAGAGAGACGGTTTCAAAGGGAAAACCAACTAACAGTGACCCATAGGGTGAAGAAAGAAAACACACTCAAACATATACATCACTCACAAACAGTCCCTCCAAGAACTCTACAAATATAATAAAGACTTCTTCAATCAAATAAACTATTGCTCATTTCTTCGCATAAAAGCAACTTTGCTATCCTTCAGAAAGTAAAAACATTAATACTATTAAATCTAGCACACAACAGCAACAACAACCCAACTTCGTTAGGGTCCGGGGGTCAAGAATTACGTAGCTTTATCCTTATAAAAACAGGAGGCTATTTCCATTAGAACCTAGATGCATTGCTGTATTTACTGCCCAAAACTTCACAGAAAATAAGAAAGGAAAATTTAATGTTCCATTTTGATTTAGTCCATAGGCATTGCAAAAAAAACAACAATTGCAAGACCATATCAGAGTATAAGCAAATTTCCATTTTTTCAGAACTTAAACTCTAAGAATATTTCATATTAACAGCGGAAAGCGGAAAGAAGAAGTTAAGGGCGCATTACGTTTTAGCTAAAGCATCAAATATACTCTGAGCCTCAGCTGTGACACCGACCCCGAATCTCTCAGCATCCAACTCCGCTTGTCTGGACAATACAAAATCAAAATCAAATTTTTTGAAACGAAAACAAGTTTCACAAATGGGTAAGGGGAATGATTGAGGGGGAAACGCCCAACCTAATAGCAGAATCTTCTCTAGATTTAAGGGTCTCAAGATCAAGAAAACACTTGCTGGCATCAAGAGGGTCATCTCCATGACCCAATAGAGCAAATTCCTTGATATAATTGGCTTTCAACAGCCTTATATTCATCTTTGCCCCAGCCCCTGAACTCCCTCCTTCTTGTGCTTTCAAGATCAAAGTCAAGAAAATCAAGTGAAACCCCCCCATGAAATTGCAATCCACATACTTCAATTCGAACAAAAACAGCAACAAGAACATGAAATTCTAAAATTAAAATTAAAAAAAAAAAACAGAAAAGATCAGATTTTGATGGAGTAAAAGGATATGAATGACGAGGATGTTGGAGGGGCGGTCGAAGGTGATGACTTTGCCTTCGAACTCTTCACCGAACGTCGTTTTAACGGAGAGGATGCAGCCGACGGCGAAATCTTCGCTGCCGTGAGCTTCCATTGACGGCGACGGCGACGGCCCGCTCTCCTCTATTCCCTCTCTTCTTCCTTCTTGCTTACCACAGGTCTTTGGAGGATCAAACTGTGTGTCATCGCTGTCCAAAGATCTTTTTGGGCTTTGAAAGACGATAATCGATTATAAAAGCTTCAGCCCAAATATTTCCAACAATATGGTTTTTATGTACTGAGCCCAATAAGGTTGATGCAAACTGAGCCCAAATTTTTTGCATTTCTATTTGTTTTAAGGAATGTGAAATATATTTTGGAACAATCCAAAAAGAAAAGTGAGAACATTTTAGAACAATGGAGCATCATTGTATGAATAATATACTCCCTTTGTCCTATAAAAGTCTTTGCTTTGATTTTTTAGTTAAACTTTACAAACTTTAATCATAAATTATGAAAAATTATATTTACTTATAATATAAATTTAATAAAATTAATTTCATTTTGAAATATAATTTTCAAATATAAAATTTTTAAAAACTTTATTTATTTAGAATTATATTTAATTTATGATCAAAGTGTACAATAGGTTAACAAAAAAATCAATCTGTAGGAAATTTCATGGGGTGATGGAGTATTTATTTGACCTCGTATTTTATATGATGTATGTTTTAATATAACATTTAAATATATAAATTTTAGTACGTGCTTTTTGAGTTTCATATCAAAAGAAAAGTTTTGTGTTGACATTTGGTTTGTACTTGTTGTTCTGTGACGGAGAAATGTTAAAGTTATAAATACGAGTTAGTAGGATAAATTTCAGTAATGATACTTGAATTCACTGAAATTTTGAAGTGGTAACTGAATTTTAAATCTTTTCACAAAAGTACCTAAACTTACATAATCCTTTCACTAAAAGTCCATTTACCCATTTTCAAGTTAACTTCTGGTCATTTGGGCCTTATTTTTCTTCTTCATTCACCCTCTTTCTTCTTCTTCTTCTTCTTCAAAGCTTCCTCACCCCACCCGCCAGCCCCCAATCTCTCTCTTCTTTTTTTCTTCTTTTTCCCCCTCTCAATCCTTTCCTTTTCTTCTTCTTCTTTCACCCCCTCTTCAATTACAATTTCAGTGAAGAGATGAACTAATACCTTTTACCCTCTGCTACTAATACCTAAGAACATCATATACTCTCTGCGAAGTTTTCCCACTAGAATGCCTTACTCTACTAGCTTTTTGTGGGAAAACTTCGCAGAGAGCATATATTGTTCTTAGATATTTGTAGTAGAGGGTAAAAATGTATTAGTTCATCTCTTCACTGAAATTGTAATTGAAGAAGGGGTGAAAGAAGAAGAAAAGGAAAGGACTGAGAGGGGGGAGAAGAAGAAGAAAAAAAGAAGAGAGAGAGTGGGGGCTGGCGGGGTGGGGTGAGGAAGCTTTGAAGAAGAAGAAGAAGAAAGGGGTGAAAGAAGAAGAAAAATAAGGCACTGGGAGTGGGGAAGAAAAGTAAAAAAGAAATGTGATCAAATTAAAAATTTTAAAATATGTAAAATTTTAATTTAGTCCAAATGACTGGAAGTTAATCTGAAAACGGGTAAATTGACTTTTAGTAAAAGAATTATGTAAGTTCAGGTACTTTTGTGAAAGGATTTAAAATTCAAGTATCACTTCAAAATTTTAGTGAAAGTTCAGGTACCATTACTGAAATTTACTCCGAGTTAGTACAAAGTACACAGCTTCTGATTTGAGTATTTAAATTTTTATTTTTTTAATTATATAAGAATATTTTATTTGACTGATATGGCAAGAGTTGTAGCGTGGCGGATTTATTATTGTTGTAACTTGTAAATGGTGGAGGACTAAAGTCCCGAGTCTAAAAGAGCAGTTGTGAAAAGAAGAAAAAAAACTTGTAACCATGGGAAGATAGCATTTGGAAGTGAAGATGAACTTATGGACTTAGCCAGTAATCATTATCATCATATCCTCAGCAAGATGGCCTTTACAATCTCCTCCTCCTCCATTTTCTTCCACACCCACCCACTCCGCCGCCGCCGCCGCCGCCGTAAAGATCCAACCTTTACCCCCAAACACCCCCACCACTTCTCCATCTCCACCAATTTCACCTCCTCCGCCAATCCCACCCTTCCCCTTCTTCTACTCACCTCCAATTCCACCTCCTCCTCCTCCTCCGCCGCCGCCTATACAACCGAAGAGCTCGAGAAGCTCCGGGTCCTCGAGAACTTCGAGTATTTTCAAGAATTGGAGTCCGGGTCGGTCCGGATCCGGGTCATGTCGGAGGAGGAGACGGAGGCGACCGCCGGATTGCTGGCGGAGTCGTTCGCGGAGTGGGTGGGGGTGCCGCTGAGGTACGTGAAGCTGTTGGGGTTCTTCGTGAAGCAGTACTTGATTGAGAGGAGAAGTGCGATGCCCCACACTGCAACACTTGTGGGATTTTACAGACATGGAAATGGAGAAGAAGAAGAAGAAGAAGAAGAAGGGGAATTGAAGGTTAGTGGGACTGTGGAGGTGTCCTTTGATAGAAGGGGTGCCACTAACAATAGTCCTCCCACACCCATTGCTCCCATGGACTGCCCTTACATCTGCAATATGGCTGTCAAGAAGTCACTAAGAAGGTCAGTTCTGTAATTAGCCATTCAAGAGTACATTCTATCTATGCCTTACCCAGACACGCACAGACGATGTCCGTGTCGCACAGACGATTATCCCCCATGCGTATCTCCAATCTCTGAAATGGAGAAGTAAGACTCGAACACTGGATGTGAAGAAACTTACCAAATTGTTATAGAATCTTTATTGGAATTTTGAACATCAGCTTAAATGAGTTATTTTTTTTATATATATAATGAAAAATCAGTTCTTTTCTCCAGGAGGGGCATAGGTTTGGAGATGTTGAAAGCAAGCGAGGAGCTGATTTCGAGAATGAGCGACACTAGAATGGTTTACTTGCACTGTAGAATGATCGACGCAGGACCATTCAATATGTATACCAAGGCGGGTTACGCCATTGTCAAGACCGATAGCATCTTCATCCTTTTGTTGTTGCAGAGACGCAAGCACTTGATGCGTAAATATCTTCAAGACTCGAAACGCCTCTCACAAGAAGAAGCAGAACAAGAGCAAGAAGAAGAAGAAGAAGAAGAAGAAGCACTTGTAGAACAACCTACACTATGAATCTTCATGTGAAAGCTGTGTAGAAGAGCATACTTATGAGTGTATGTATGTATCATGGAGGAACAAAAGTTGTGTTTGGCAATAGTACTCTTTTTTTTGTGGGGATTGATAGTACAAAAAAATGAATCCATGAACACACATGTATTATTGACACTTTGAGAGTGGAAAATCTATATAAGTTGGGGAGGGTTGAAGGGAACTATTTCCTTAATCCCAATTTAACTTGTCTTGTTGTTGTTGTTGTTTATGATATTTAACTAAAGTTATTTTTAAATAATTTTATATGAAAATTGGGGTAGAATTAAAAAAAAGATTTATATATATTTAAAAACTACATTAAAACTTTTACAAAATAAATAAGGCATACCTCAAGTAAAAAAATGATTAAAATTTAATTATGTGAATAAAAACATGCTATTTAAATTAGGATAAAAGTAATTGTATTTATATAGTCTCCATGTAACATACCTCAACTTCAACAAGAAACAAATTCAGTAAAATCTCACAATACCCATACTCAAAAGCAGAGAGGTTGTTTCCAAGAAACTCAACGTTTGGCTTTAATGTTTTGCAACAACTTCGCCGTTTAACTTTAGTGTTTTTAAAGCTAATGTGCAACAATGCAACATTAAAAAACTTCTCCAAATGCTAAAACTATTTGAAAAAGTTGTTTCCAAAAGAAGGAAAATGGAATACTCACAATACAAGGCAAAATTTTAGACTAGACAATACAAGACAAATGTAAAAGACTAATATAACCATTCATAAGTTCTCATGTTATACACCAAAACTTGTAATCTAAGTCTATTTCCCGGACGAATGAAACGAATGTTGACACAACGTAACAATCCGTGTGGTCGAAACCAAACCTCCGAGTTCACAAATGGCATAAGCAAACTTTTGTGCAGTGAGCGATTACATAACAATATTACACAAATAAAAAAAAGTACACGATATGACATGACAAAGGACAACTACGGGATTTTTTGTTTTTGTTTTGGAAAACCATACCTTGGGAGGGCGGTCGTTACTATGCTCTCCAATGGATTAGTTTTCTAAAGGTATAGGTTTGGATTGTCTTTACTCTGGATGAGAGGGACGCCATCTTCCCGCCAAACTACTCTTTCTTCGCATAACGCTGCGGCTACTTGTACATACAGTTTATGCTCCTGATATTACAAAAAAGTGTTGAGTGTTACTCCATCATATGACGAAACTATTTTCCGTGTAATTTGTCAAGAAAAAGTAACTAAGATATGATTTTTTTTGAAAGCAAGATATGATAAATTTAGTTCAACCAAGAGATAAACCAAACATACGCTCTAGATGAACCAAATCAAAATATACGTATGTATATCTTCACAAATCCTAACCTCGTTGAGAACCCTTGCTGCCAGGTCATCAGCGGAGTCGTTAGCAAGCACGGGCACAACTGCCTGAGCAAGGATACGCCCTGTGTCATACTCTTCATCAACATAATGAATTGTGGGACCCGAATATCTGCAAAATGAGCGAAGTTAACTTTAACGCACGTGTTCATAGAACAAGGGGATATGTACAGAAAATTTGGATTCAAGATTACAGCAATAAAGAACAAATGACATGTCACTTCCCTAAAGCATCTCCAAATTTTTTTATTAAAGCATCTTAGCTCTCTAGGTCTTAGTGTGTGTGTGTGAGTGTATACACACACATACTCTTTACTTGTTTAAATATATATACATATATATATATATATATATATATATATAAAAGAAATTTAAGTACAAAATATGTATATACAAAGAAAATAAAGAATGTGTTTTTTTGAAATATGTGTACTACTAAATGTAGGTAGAGAATAGAGAAATTAAAGTTGTTTGATTGAAAAAACAATAGGTTGAAAATAAATGGAAAAGGGATATACACTTACAAATAGGTTGAAAAATAAACAATATTCTACAGTAAATGTAGAATATTACACTTACAACATCTTTAAATTATCACAACAAATATTAGAACAGGGATAAAACAATAAATTTAGGACATTTCCTCCATTTCTCTTTAACTCAGGTTCTGTGTTATCTCTTTAATCAGTTTACTGCATACACTCTAGTAAACCAAGGAAACATATTGACCAGTGTTTTCAACTCATTTCCCTTCTCTCTTTTTCTCCAACTCTATTTCTTTACCATCAAACATAGGCTAGTAGTTATGAATTATGACACCTGCAATATTTTTAACTATATTGTAGCATTCATAGCATCTACTCCGGGGTACCATCATCATAATAATGACAGTCATGTGATATAAATATGTGCCATTGTGCCTAACTGCCTATTGGCTTCTGCAGAGTTGTTTGACGGAACAAATCCCAACTGTATTTGTTCATTGGCGAAAAAAGAGAGCTGTGAGGGTAAAATGGTAAATATGAGATTTACCTAGCTCCAGAAGCAATCACAGCTTCATGCACCTTCCTCCCGTAGTAACCTAAGCCTCCAAAAGCTGGGAGAAGCGAAGGGTGAACGTTCAATATTGACCTCGGATACGCTTGAATCAACGTAGGAGGTATAAGCTTTAAGTATCCAGCTAATAAAATGAAGTCAACTTTGTATTTTCTACACAAAAACATAAGGAGTGAATGTTAGATGACACTCCCTTTGTTACTAAATTATCTTCTCACTTCTCTTTGTTCATCTCTAAATTCGTAAATTGGTAGCTGGCAGCCTGGCACAGAGAAGAACCGACAACATATCCCATACATTAAATAAATGCTTTCGGTGTGCGTGCGTATTTGGGGGGGGGGGGTTGAAATACCTTAGAGCAGCTACAAGATCTTCAGGGGACATACCCTCATCTGTATTCTTTGGTTTAGGAAAGAGAATAACAGGCACTCCTCCATCTCTGGCATATTTGGCACCCCCACAATCTGCATTTATAACCAAATAAACATCTAGAGTATAGTTCTACTGATTTCATGGCTCACACTTGCACTAATAACGGCATAACATTACTGAATATTGGGATATATTCCGTAATAATAATAAAGGAAAACATCAAAGCCTCTATTCAGTGTAGTTGAAGTAAGGCATGTGTATATCTCTCTCCTCCCAAACCCATACTCTCGACTGAGATATATTGGTTTTTGTTAATAAGAAAATATGAAAACCACAATCAAATTATGATATGCAAACCCATTGAAAATTTTCCACACAAAAAAAAGACCTTTGTGAGGTCATGAACTTTGCAAGGTTAAATAAAACATGCTCCTTCTTAAGCATCATCATAAGCCTACAAACTGCATACAAAAAGAAATATACAGAATTACAGACAACTAAAATTGCCATCATCAGAAACTTCCTCCTGTCTTACTATCAACTTTATTCAAAATACGAATTTGATATAATTTTATTGGGTTCCAGAGGCCCACTCCGTCACAATAAGTTAAAAAAATTTTAAAAAGGAAAAAAGAAAAACAACATTAAGATACACAACTAAATTGGATAAAAAAAATTATTTAACAAAAAATCACTTAGTAATATAATTTTTGCAGGTTTATAACACATGCCTTCTTGAGCATCACCATCATAAGCCTACAAACTTCACACAAAAAAAACAAATTGAATACACATAAGTTCAATGTCATCACAAAATTAGCACCTAAGTCCTAATATCAAGTAATTAGTACGTAGTGTATACAAATTAAAATTAGTTAACATTATAAATGTAAACAGATAACTAAATGGATAGAGTAAAGAAGAAATGGCAATAAAAAAAGTAAATTAACCAAGTACCAATTTTATTGGTGACCAAAACAACCACCTCCCCTTGAATACTCCCTTGCAGAGTCGCTTTGTGGATTGCCTTAAAGTTCGAACCTCCACCAGAGACAAAAACAGCAAATTTCTTCTTCTTCTGGGTTTCTACACTGGATTCAATCTCATGGGTATGAAGAGACTTGCTTTTTACTGCTTTAATGGAGGAAACTCTCTTGGCCCATGATATGCGAGGAATGAGAAAAAATTGTGGTTTGAGAGGGACCCATTTAGGAGATTGAGTAGAAGCGGGTAAAAGAGCCGGAAAGAATGTGATGTCTGGTTTTTGTGTGTGTAATGATGTAGAAGAAAATCCAAATATCAAGCTTCGAGCTTCCATTCATATACTTGGAAGGTAGATGAAGAGCATTGAACAGTGATGTAGCCAGAAAAGAGTTAAATGCATAAATAGTCCTCGTGGTCTCCCATAAGTCGTAAATAGTCTTCAAACTTTTAAAAATTGCCACCTGTGGTCAAAGAACTATTGCATATTTAGTCATTTCTTGAAGAAAAACGTGAAGCACACACACGCAAGTGTTATGGGCAAATGTGAAACATGTTACAATAAAAAAAGCTAATCTAGAGTAGTACAATATTTTAAATCAGCTCGGCATTATTCTGTTCTTCAAATAGCCTTATTCTTGAGTAATGTCGTGTGGTATAAGAGGTAAAATAAGATCTTTCCCTTCTTTAAACCACGAAGACGAGGGCAATTTCTTCAGATTAGCATATTTATTTTGTCACATGCTTCACATTTTCGCATAGTATGTACGTGTTTTGCATGCTTTACATTTCCTCAACACTATGTTTGATTTGTGGAATTCAAAAGGAAAAGAAAAGAAAGATATTTTCTATCCTTTCCTTCACCAAAATGGAAGGAATGTTGCTTTCCTTTTTAGTTAATTTCTTCTCCCATTTTCTTTTCTTTAAATTTTGTTTTTTTCCTCTTTAACCAAACAAGAAAAAAAAAGTTTCCTCTCATTTTCTTTTCTTTTTCCTCTCAATTTTCTTGAAACAAACATAGTGAAAAGGAAGGACTGATTGTGCAACACTTCTTTAACCATAGGAACTATTTTGCAAATTTAATACAGGCACTATTTACCTATTTATAGAAGATCAGAGTGACCATATACGCAAATAACTTGCCAGAAAATTGAGAGCATGGGATCTTAAATCTTAAAAAAAACTTGACCATAAGTAACATTACACATGTTGGACATCCCAAAATATGGACGTATAAATATATTTTGAAAAAAAAAATTCTTGTACTACTCCTCCCGTCCCAAAAAGATTACCACAATTTGACTTTTTTTGGATAAATTGAATAGCACTTTTACCACCAATTAAATATAGTTTTAAATAATTAAATGTTATAAAAAATTGATATCAAAACTTAATTTTAAAATGAACTTAATTGTACTACATTTACAATATAACAAAATGTACTTTTTCCACCATTTATGGTCAAACTGTGGCAAGTTTTTTTGGGACGGAGGGAGTACACATGGTATAAACAACACAAGTTCATAATTAAGAAATTCATATTTGGTATCAATTTCTGAAAAGAGTGCAACAAAAAATCAAAAACAAAAGGAAGGTGTACCTAGGGCTTGGCGAAGGGATCTGAACAAACTCAATTTAGAAATGCAATCCCAGGGAAGATATAAAAGGAGGGTTCTCCTTCGTGGGGAGGTCGACGGCGAAGAAGGCTGCGTCGGCGGGCGGCGAAGTGGCCAATGGAAAAGATGATTCGGAATTGTGAAGAGACGGAGCAGAGTGCAGGGGCGTTAAAATAGACGGGAAAAATTTGTACCAAACCCGGCTTCAAACTTTCTCTCTCTGTCAGCTTTAACTTACACCCAAAATTCACTGGAAATGATTTTGAAGTCCCGGGGCTTCAAACTGGGGCTTCAAACCTTCATTTTTTACACTTTTAAATATACATTTTTTAAATTTAAATTTATAAATTTAAATTAATTTATTAGTTTAATTAATCGCAATGACACTAGTGCATAAAAAAAATTAATTCATTATAAAAAAAATCTTACATTCATTAAAAAAACATTAAAAAAAATTACATTCATTAAAAAAATTACATAATAAAACAATAGTATAAAGAAATTACTAATTATTCGAACGACTAAAGATATGCTCGATCAAATCCGCCGTTAGTGCATTGTGAATCTCTCGGCTTCGAATTTCTTGGCGGTTGCGTCGTTTCTTTTCTTCGGTGATTTCTTCGTACATAGGCACCTCCTCGTCCGGGTTGTATTGACAAATCGCAGACCCGTTATCCTCTATGATCATATTATGAAGAATAATACATGC